CCCAAGACATCCTTATTCATTTAAAAAAATTACATTTCGTAAATTTGAACATACAATCACTTTTATTTAAAATTCAACTCCCTCCAATCAAATTATGTATCACCGTATGAACGTTTGTCATAAGTTTGTTATTCCTGAACTAAAACAGGTCTGAATCCGTTTGAATTACCTTTCGAATCGTTTACGGGAATCACTGTAACGGAATCCGGCGATATTCCGTGCACGTGTTCGTGACTTTCAGCGAGCAGTTCGTTTGAAACGTGTTGATGCCACTGGCGATCGCGTCGACCAGTTCTCAGTAAAGGTCAGTGTCAACTCTACACTATCGAGTATTTTTCGATTCTGTAGAGATGTTAGAACGTCGCGATACGCTTATGCAACTCGTGCCACGAGAAAAGCATACGCAGACGGAAATTTCGCTGAATTTGAATGACGTCTGACAGGTACGAAACTAACAGGAAATTAACGCAGAGTCGAGCATAATTTCAATCATCATAACATCAATGCACAGCGAATTGTTCGTTCCCCTTCGAAGTGGAGAACTCGAGGCTTCATTTTTCGATAATTTTTGTTTTTCGATCATTTTCTTCGTTTGATTTTCTAAATTTCAGAACCCGTCAAAAATGAAAAGTAATTTAATTTTAAGCGATTAGCTTCAGGCTCCCATAAATCTAGATCCACTGTTATGTTTAGCTTTTCGATAAGACGTTGAATAATATTATCGTTGTTTTTATTTTTCTACTCCGCGAGATAACGCTTAATCGTAATTACAGAGATCAATTCGAGCGAGGAAAACTGTTCGTTTACATTAGTAATGGCCATCCCCGATGGCCATTAGTAATCGACATCGAACTAAGCGTATTACGAGGAAAACTTTTCATGGAACTCGAGAAGTTTTCTTAACTCGCGCGATTATAGACTCTCGCGTTACCATCTCGAAACTCGTCGGACGAGTTCTCCGGCGGGAAAAAAATATTTTGGACATTTAAATATTGAGTTTTAAATTTTAAATTGAAGACGTTGCATGTGAGTTAAAAATAAATTCTAGAAAGGAAGATAATAATTTTGAACGATAAAGTAGTCGACGCGTGACGAAGACAAGAAGGAATTTCAATCGAATGTTTATTGTTTCTCCACGTAGTACTTATCTTTTCCTTTCGACTTGTATCAGCACTTCTATGCGTCACGACGCAGTTTTTTTCTTTTCTTCACGCTCCCTCCAATTGCAACAAATCTCGGAAATTCCAAACAGGAAAACACTCATTATCGACTCCAGCCGTAGCTATTTCGAACACCTCCTGTCCTCGTTCGAACACTCGTGACAGGGTATAAACAAGGCATAGTTCACAGCTAGTTCATGCTTGAGCGCTTGTCTTTTTTTACGTGATAGAGTAAACTGAACAATGGTGGACGAAAGCGTTGGCACAATTTTTAAAATACAGATACTTTTAACTACGAAAAGAATCGAGCTAGAGTTCAATGACAAGAGAAATAAATTTTCTTTTCATTGATCATTTCAAGTTTTATCACGTTATACGAAATAATTAGATTCCATCTTTGTTATTATTATTAGACTGCAGATTTTATGCATTTACGATACAAGTTAATATAGTGAATACATGGACGTAATCAAAAGATACGTGTAGTTGTGCGAAACGAAATAATATTATTATGTTAATTATATTAATATATAGAATATGTTCAACACACATTATACAATCAATGTAATAAGTATTCGTACAGAAACCAATTCAAAATAAAACTTCATGTATTTATTTTATTAATAAATTTTAGGGGAAGAAAATAAAAAGTAAATTAAAGTTTTAAATTAATTTTTAATGTTAGCCTCCCATTTCTTTTCTTATTAATCACATTTTAAATTAGTTGCTGTACGAATACTTATTACACTGACTGTACGTATCTTTCGTATATTTTCCATATTACTGTACACCATAAGTGCATAAAACCTACAATCTAATTATTCTTAATATAATGAATGAATACAATGAATACAATGAATGGAAAAAAAGGTAAAATCTATATTTATACCATAGTATTTTTATTTTTAATTCGATTTGAAACGTTTTAAGTAACAAGTCGAGTATGAATTTATTCTGAAATGTACATTTTCTCTAAGGAAAATGTGGGACAGTTTTGAATCTACGTAAATTAAATTCACCAAAGAGTTGAATTCCCTTTTGACACGGTGGATACTATTTGAATACCCCAGCTGGGCACCGTCAGATGTACTTTGCACATTTTACGACCACTGTGCATTTTTTCCAGCACTTTAACGACATGACGTCCCATGCTATCCGACGAGTCCCGAACGCAGCTTCTTTGAAAAAGTTGATCGCCTTGAAGCACTTCAGAATTCTTGGTTACGTTTTTTTTCCAAGGCGCTCGGTGACCTCGGAACTTCGGGGTATAGCAAATTCGTCGCGTGTATCGTTACCTCGGAACACTGTCAAAGTATCTTCATCTTTTTCCCTCTCAAATTATTTATTATAATAATAAAACGAAACATTAGCACGGTAGATGTATAACAATATAGTAGATCGTAGATATTGATTCTTTGTTTCATTTGTTGAGTCGAAGCGTCATGCTCTTCGAGGAAAATGTGATGTCGACAATCGCGTTTTATTTGTCATGTCTTGGTTGTTTCAATTAGAACCGAGGATAACTTCCAACTTTATTCGTAGTAGAAAATAATTGTATATTTTGAGAGTTAATTACAACGACTTTAATTTCTAGAAATCACTCGAAAAATTAATCTTCCGATAAAAGAGTTTCTTTTATTTTTCTTTTAAATCATGTGCCTTGAAGAGTTAATATACACTACTAACGATGATTTATTTAAATATTTGTTCGAGACTTCGACGTGCTAGTAGCGATACGCATCGTTACTAACGAGTACGTTATTAGATTGATCCCATCGCTAATTATGGCTGGTGTTCTCCTGAACAAGATTTTTCTCCGAATGATAATCATTTATCAGTTATATCGAGACACTCGGCAACAGTGTTTATTCGCATAATTATCACTCTGTTCTCCAGTCTCTAATTAAGACAAATTTCCGTGTTTACCTGTTCGCCTATTCCGAGGACTCGTTAATATTCGAGACCTTGAATGCGTAGAAAACATTATCATAAAATTAGAAGCATAATCCTCGTTTATGTCGTTAAATCCAAGTAAGATCGAGAGATTCGAAGCTGCCCGCGGCTGAATTTCTGTAATACACGGGGATCCACGCGTAATTCATTTTATCCACGAGTTCGTGATGCCATCGTTATTAATAAACAGGTGGAAATAAAATTGTGAGACAGTCTGATGGTTTCCCACGAATTCTTACACGCAAAGCTTTTTGATTACTATTAAGAAGTATAGAAGAAGAATCATTATTCTTGAAAAATGGATACACAAAGTACAACGAAAAAGTAATATCCAAGTTCATTGCCCATCGATTGCATCTTCATTAATATTTCAATTTCAGAAACAGTGTATAACTAAGAAAAGCAAATTCTACATTAGTATACATTGATCCAGACTGATATTAATTTCTACATATATTTGGAATATCAAAAGCTATGTGTATCTCAAAGCTTAGTGTATCAAAGCTTAGTGTATCAAAGTTATGTATCTCAAAGCTATGTATATCAAAACTTAGTGTATCAAAGCTTAGTATAACAAAGCTTAGTCTATCAAAGCTATGTACCTCAAAGCTTAGTATATCAAAGCTTAGTGTATCAAAGCTTAGTGTATCAAAGCTTAGTGTATCAAAGCTTAGTGTATCAAAGCTTAGTGTATCAAAGCTATGTATCTCAAAACTTAGTATATCAAAACTTAGTGTATCAAAGCTTAGTATAACAAAGCTTAGTCTATCAAAGCTATGTACCTCAAAGCTTAGTGTATCAAAGCTTAGTGTATCAAAGTTATGTATCTCAAAGCTATGTATATCAAAACTTAGTGTATCAAAGCTTAGTATAACAAAGCTTAGTCTATCAAAGTTATGTATCTCAAAGCTTAGTGTATCAAAGCTTAGTGTATCAAAGCTTAGTATAACAAAGCTTAGTCTATCAAAGTTATGTATCTCAAAGCTATGTATATCAAAACTTAGTATATCAAAGCTTGGTGTATCAAAACTTAGTATATCAAAGCTATGTATCTCAAAACTTAGTATATCAAAGCTATTTATCTCAAAACTATATATATCAAAGCTATTAATTGATATCCTATGTATCTACTGGAATTAACAACCTTATATCTTTGTTTTAAGATCCCTAGACACCGCAATGTGGAGAGCACTGTTATCACTGGCCGTGGCCAGTTACGCTCTGGTTCAGGCAGCTCCCCAGAACAAGGACAACTTGGACAGTCTCATATCGAATGTGTTTGGACAACCTACACCCTCAACAGAGGCCACCATCACCGATCGAAACTCCAGTGGCAGTTTGGATACTTTGATAGACGGCGTGTTTGGCCCTGCACCAACGCCTCAGAGCAACCTAGGTACCCAGGGCTCGACGTCAACCACCATCTTGGGCACGCAGAACAAGCCCAAGCCTCTGCCCGATGACTGCGAATGCGTGCCCTACTATCAGTGCAACAACGGGACCATTTTGGATAACGGGGTTGGGCTGATTGATCTCAGGTCCGGTTTTGATGACTATCTCCCTGACATTCACAACGATGAGTGAGTTTTCCAAAGACGTGGCCTGTAACACAGGATCAGTGTTGGGCAAAATTGTACAGTTCACAGTTTTCTATATATTTATATTTACAGTTTTCTATAGACTCCTAAATTACCTCTGACGACTAAACTTATCATAGATTAGTCGAAGAGAATTTAATCTATGAAATGCCCAACTCTGCAGGGCTTGAAATTGCCTCTGGTGCACGGTCTGGAATTTTTGTTCACTGGGATTGTAATTTCAAGCATGCCTGCTTGAAGATTGGTTTCCAAATCACGGTAACACCTTCGATTATCTCGATTGGCGTGGATCCTCCGACCGTTCTTAAAGGACACATCAAAATTACGTTTGCATGAATAATCCATTATAATAGCATATCCATTACTCGTGGTTTCTTTTTATTCACCTTTTGCGTTGAGATTGTGAACGTCGCATGAGCCTGTCTTTGGATACTTTCTCTTCACGTACTCGTTTCTTTGAATAAATTGTACATATTCTGTTTCCTTCACTTGTGTGTTTATACGTGCAAGTGTATATCTACACTTTGATTCTGCATTGTTTCTCTCAAGTCTTATGCAAGAGGGGAGAACACGATTAAAAGTTCATTTGCATAGTCTTTTTAAAACAGATGTGAAGTGAACACTAGCTAATCGTGCCAACACTTTACAATATTTTTGCATGATACCAAAACTGTGCGAGCACTGTAAAAATTGCATCGAACGAATATGATTCCACGGCATTAAAATTAATCTGGATTATTAATTTTTACGATGCAGAGCCTTTGGTCCTTGCGAGAACTACCTGGACGTCTGCTGCAAACCCCCAGACAGGAAAAATGAAACCACTCCTTCACCGCCAGTAGTGAGAAAGGGTTGCGGACAACGAAACCCTCAGGGTGTTGGTTTCAGAATCACCGGCGCCAACAACAACGAGGCCCAATTCGGCGAGTTTCCTTGGATGGTGGCGATCCTTAAGGAAGAAACAATCGGCGCGAACAATCAGAAATTGAACGTCTATCAATGCGGAGGTTCCTTGATTCACAGACAGGCAGTGCTAACAGCTGCTCACTGCGTGCAAGGGTCCGTTACTATGTTTGTAGAAGAGATAAAATAATTAACCCTTTGCACTACGAGCAATTTTGCTATATGACATAAATTATACGATTTTCTTTAGAATTTTACATTTTTATTAACCAAACTATTGCTTAAGAATGTTGATCGTATAACTAGACTGCGGATCTTTATGCATTTATAGGAAACTTGAATGTGCAAGATTCTACAAAATGCAAACAATATGCAAGAATATAAAAAAGATTGAAAGTAAAGTTCATGTTGTAATATTTGCAGAATGAAATAAATTCCTATTTAGGTTCAATTTTAGGTGGCACGTTCGCGAAGATTTTATTTTGTACAAAGATCCGCAGTCTATTTATAACTAATTGAATTCGGATACTCGCTTATTAAAACTTAATGATTAGTTGAGGCCACGAGAACCAGAGTAGCCTATCTACATAATTATGGTAGTGATTTATAAAGAGAAATTGGAAGCTACGATTTTCATTTAATTATTTCCATGCTGTCATGTGTTAACGATTGAGGAAATTAAACATACGTCACTTTGGTTTTATGAAATATCCTATCAGTTATGCGCTTTAGACCATAAGTCAATTTTTAAGAAATTGTTACTTGCGCCACTCTGGTTCTCAAGTCCTCAATTGTGGACAGTGATACTGGTCTTAGGAGTGCAAAGGAATGATAATTAAAATAGAATCGAGTGGGAAAATGAATAACAGTCTGTTTAAGATTGCACGATTACCATTTTATTTCTATACGTACATGTAAAATTCATTTCTCAATCGAGTGGTTTTAAATTGAGTACAAATGAGAAACATGTTAATGTAATACTATGACTTTCCAAACAGGAAGAACCCATCAGAGTTGAGAATCCGTGCAGGCGAATGGGACACGCAAACCGTGCATGAGATATTCCCGCACCAGGATCGCAACGTGAAGCAAGTGATCGTTCACAACGAGTACTATCCTGGGGCTCTCTTCAACGACGTAGCCATCTTGATTTTATCGGAGCCGCTTACGTACGCGGAGAACGTCGATATCGTTTGTCTTCCTGAACGGAACGCTGTCCTCGACGGATCCCGATGCTTCGCCAGTGGCTGGGGCAAAGACATATTCGGTAAAGATAGTAATTTTTAACCCTTTGCATTGGAGAGGTGACACTCAATCGCCATTAGGTTTCGCGCAGCAAATCTATCAGCAGTAATGTTTCTTTAGGTTTCATTTCTGTGGAACTCGATGTGTCGATAAAATGATGGTGTGATAAAATAAAGGTGACCTGATTCTCGAATCTAGATAGCTTAGAATTCGTGGCAATAGAATGCTAAGAAAGCATCTCGAGTGCAAAGGATTAAAATGTGGAACTTCGTTTTTGGACCGTTCTAACAAAAAGCATGATTTAATTAACACATTGTTGACCGGCAATTTTTCACAGAGGCGACTTCGTGTATTATTTCGTAATTGAATGCGAAATTAAAACAATCTAAATTCTATTTATATTTCATCAACACAATGAAATGAAATATTTTACATTCATATCTTCTACATAACTGTACAATTTTTCCATATCGTCCTGAGTTTCATAAATTGAAATAGATAATGCAAGTGCAAACATGAGTTTACTCGTGACTGTTCAACAATGTGTTAACAGAGATATTCTTATTTATTCTTATAAAGATATTCTTATTCCGTGAATGCTAGGAGCTGGTCCTATTTTCGCACAAACACTTGCACACGTGCGGTTTCCTATTTTCCTACGCTTCCTTCCTATTTTCCTTCCTATTCTTTATGCTTTCTGAGGGATTCCTCTGCCATAGCTTCAGAAACAACAGAAACCTCATTAACACGGTTGACTCCGGTTACTCGAGGGTCGTTTACTGCTTGCTGGTCCTGACGACGCCCAATTATTCCAAACCCACTTGTATACTTCCCTGCAAGTGTCTGACGACCGTAATCATTGTTTCAGGTAAAGAGGGTCACTACCAGGTAATCTTGAAGAAAGTGGAACTCCCGATCGTGCCACGCAACACGTGTGAGGGCAGTTTGCGGAAGACGAGATTAGGAAAATACTTCAAACTCCACGAGAGCTTCATATGCGCCGGCGGAGAGGCTGGAAAGGACACTTGCAAGGTAAAACTAAATCTTCTTTTAGTATTTGAATGCCTATAATAATTTGTTTTAAACGCTAGCCATAATTCAAGAACCGAAATGTTAATATTGGACGCCAAACTTTACATCTATTTTATTATATAAATTAATCTCTAATTTCCTCAATCATTAACACATGACAGCATGGAAATAATTAAATGAAAATCGTAGCTTCCAATTTCTCTTTATAAATCACTACCATAATTATGTAGATAGGCTACTCTGGTTCTCATGGCCTCAACTAATCATTAAGTTTTAATAAGCGAGTGTCCGATTTCAATTAGTTATATGCGGATTATAGACTGCGGATCTTTATGCAAAATAAAATAAATAGGAATTTATTTCATTCTGTAAATATTGTACCATGAACTTTACTTTCAATCTTTTTTATATTCTCGCATATTGTTTGCATTTTGTGGTTTCTTGCACATTCAAGTTTTCTATAAATGCATAAAGATGCGCAAACTAGTAATAACTATTCGCATAGAAACCAATTCAAAGTAAAACTTCATGTATTCATTTTATTAATAAATTTTAGGGGAAGAAATAATTAACCAACATTTTTTAACTACATATTTTTAGAATAGAATTCGCGTAAATTAAAGTTTTAAATTAACTTTTAATGTTAGCCACTCATTTCTTTTCTTATTAATTTTATTTTAAATTAGTTGCTGTACGAAATGCATAAAAATCCGCAGTCCAGTTATTTCTTCTATTCTTCCATGAATCCTTCCACTTCCAAGAAAATTTGTCCAGGCGTAAAATAAATACGCGTGTTTCTTTTTACAGGGTGACGGAGGAAGTCCGCTCGTGTGTCCGAGCAGAAACGATCCCAGCAAGTACGTGCAAGCAGGTATCGTCGCATGGGGAATCGGTTGCGGCGAAGACGGCACTCCAGGTGTCTATTCCAACATTCCATTTTTACGCGATTGGATCGACGAGCAGATGGCTTTCAACAATTTGGACAACACCGTTTACAACCCTTGAACCTGACAATAGACTGACTCGTTTCATAAGTCTCTTTCATAAATAAAAATCGCCACCCTCTGTCACCGACTATCCTGCCTAACAACATTTTTTTTTAGTATTGTAACGAACAGATGAAAATAAACATAGACGAGAGTGTTGAACTCACAATAAAATATTACTACGTCGGAAAAAGAAAGAAAGAATAATTTTAGGATTACCTTGGCTGGTTCGTTTAGCAGACAGGCCTTTTCCGAACGCTAAAAACTCGGACAAAAGGCTGGTTAAAAGGTACGAGCCAACAGCTGAGACGAACTCTTGAGTTAAACGGTAATGGTCATAAAACTAAATTCGGTCGTAGCGGAAGAACAGTAACGTTCGCGCATGTGTTTAGCAAACGAAGTGCTTTTATGGCTGTGCCGTTCGAGTAACGTTCTCCAGACACCGTGCAGAAACGGTACCCCTTATTGTGTTTTAAACCATTTATTTGAAAGGGTCGCGCGATTGCCTCTTGGGAGCTTATTGCAAAGAAACGTCAATCGAGTTTATTCACACGTGCCAGAGACACGCCTGTGTTTTATTCTTTTACAGCGATACAACTTCCACTTTCTGTTAGCTAGTTTACTTTCCTTGAATATTATTTTCTTAAGTATTGTATCTTGACATCTACATTCAGCTAATTAAATATTAGAATACGAATGCGTAGACAGTCGAAACTCTTAAATTGATAATTATTGTCTTGTGATATTTCAACGGAATAATAAATAATTCATGTTGGATCGTTCATGTATTCATTATTAGTACGTACTTCTCCTATTGTTCAACAAATTATGAAGTATTTTGTGTTGCAATATACGTATATATATATGTATTCATCAAAATCACGTTTATAAGGTGGATTTCATTCATGAAATTTGTGTTCATTCTCACCTATAATCAGAATCATCTACGGCGAAACGCTCAAGTCTGTAGTGAAATCTTTACTAATCGAAAACGTTAGATGGCAGCATACGTAGGTAAACCTTAGCGTTCTTACCATGCAGGTCCCCATGCATGACCACTGGAGCGTGATGGTGAGCAACAGAGAATAAGACTGAAAGTGGAGAGTGACTTTAACCACTGCAGAGTGACAGAGATCACCAGTGATCACTCCGTATCACAACCTAATACTTCCTAACACCTCCTGACACCTCATAACACTTCCTAATAACTCTAATAAGAACTCCTAACATCTCCTACACCTTCTAAAATTTCCTAACAGTCTTCTTACACCTCATAACACTTTCTAATATTCTCTAAAACTTCCTAACACTTCCTAACACTTCCGAACACCTTCGAACACGTCCCAACACCTTCTAAAACAACCTAATACCTTTTAATACTTCCCAATATTTCCTCCTATCACTTTCTAACATTTCCTTACACCTCCTCACACCTTCTAATACTTCCTCATACCTCCTATTACCTCCTATCACCTTCTAACACTTCCTCACAACTTCTACTATTTCCTCATATCTCTTAACACCTTCAAACACTTCCTCTGATCTTCTAACAGTTCCTTACACTTCCTCTCACCTTCTAACAGTTCCTTACATTTCCTCTCACCTTCTAACAGTTCCTTACACTTCTTCACACTTCCTAACACCTTCTAATACTTTCTCACACCTCCTATTACCTCCTATCACCTTCTAATAATTCCTCACGCCTCTTATTACACCTCCTAACACCTCCTAAAACCTACTAATACATCCTAACACCATTTAACATCTTCTAACACTTTTTAACACCACATAAGTTTGCTCCGTTCAAAACTTCCACAAAGTTGCAGCGCTCAAAATTCAACGATGTTGCAAACCCCCGCAGAATTCAACAAAGTTGTAAGTTCAACAATGTTGCAAATCAATCCCCGCAGAATTCAACAAAGTTGCAAGCTCAACAATGTTGCGAATCAATCCCCGCAGAATTCAACAAAGTTGCAAGCTCAACAATGTTGCGAATCAATCCCCGCAGAATTCAACAAAGTTGCAAGCTCAACAATGTTGCAAATCGATCCCCGCAGAATTCAACAAAGTTGCAAGCTCAACAATGTTGCAAATCGATCCCCGCAGAATTCAACAAAGTTGCAAGTTCAACAATGTTGCAAATCAATCCCGCAGAATTCAACAAAGTTGCAAGTTCAACAATGTTGCAAATCAATCCCCGCAGAATTCAACAAAGTTGCAAGTTCAACAATGTTGCAAATCGATCCCCGCAGAATCCCAACAAAGTTGCAAGTTCAACAAGGTGGCAAATCGCTCCTTTTCAGAATTCAACAAAGTTGCAAGTCCAACAATGTTGCAAATCGATCCCCGCAGAATCCCAACAAAGTTGCAAGTTCAACAAGGTTGCAAATCGCTCACCGAAGGAATTCAACAAAGTTGCAACGCTCAGAAGTACAACAAAGTGGCAACTCAGAAGTTCGGAGAAAAGGTGAATTTTCTGCGAACTTCTGAGCTGCCATATTATTGTACTTTTGACCCCTGCAACTTTGTTGCAATTTTGAGCATTGCAAATTTATGAAGTTTTGAGCGGAGCCACTTGCAACATTGTGGAACTTTGCTCCGCTTAAAACTTCAACAAATTTGCAACTCGAAAGTTTTGTGCGGAGCGATTTGACACTTTGCTGTACCTTCAGGTGCTGGTAGGAGATGTTAGGAGTTGCTAGGAGGTGTTGAAAGGTGGTAGGAGATAATGGGGGATGTGAGGAAGTGTTTGAAGGTGTTAGGTTTACCGTTGCACGGTAAGAACTGTAAGATTTACTTACGTGTGCTGCCTTTTGTAGCGTTCTGGATTAGGTAACGTTTCCACTACAGACTTGAGCATTTTGCCGTAGATAGCGCTGACTCGAAGTTTAAGAATTTCCTGGGCCTTGTTACCGGCATGTCAACAACATGTGCTTTTTAACTTTAAATCGTGTGTGACTATGATCTTGCAAAATGTTACAAGATTATTTGCTAAAGTATCATCGTGATGAATTGGAAGAAATTTTAGATGCTGTGGATGTTAACATTTTTTATTCCATCCATGTAAAGTGAGTAAATTTATAAATAAAATATTCAAATAATAGTTTTATAAGAACACTGTATAAGGATTCATTCTCAATGTTTATTCCATTGAACAATAAATCGAGTATGTCTTCACTCGTTTAGTGTAAGGTACAATTAAATTTTGTAATCGATGTTGTAGTTTGTGTTGAATAAATAAAAGTTGTCTACCTTTTATTTGTTGTTTTACATTTTGAGTTGGATTACTATAAAATAGATGAAATTGAAAGCAAAAATGAGCAATATTCTTATCTCAGAGGTCGTTTGTTTTACAGCTTTGTATCATTGTTTGAAGCTGATGCTGATGTGGCACAAAAAATTCTACAATTTCCTAGGCATTATTTGCCAATGTGCGATATAGCTGCAATGAAAATACAGGAACAAATAGCAAAACCTGAGCAAATTGTGAAAAAAAAAAGTAATAGCAAAGTATATGCTCTATACAATATTAGATAATGGTCTTGGTTCAAATATTTTCGATATTTCCATATGTTTACTTTTAATATCTCACGTAGGTTCGTATCAGAGTTACTGCTGTACCAGTTACTGTAGATCAGGGGGAAATAGGGCAACTGGTTTCAACAAGTGGCATTGCAGTGAGAATATCTCAACCAACAGTGTTGAAGCTAGTTCAAAGATACAGTTGTAAGAAGTGCAAACATGTCACTTTAGTTAAGGTTTGTTGGGCATATTATGAATATTACAAAATTTTATCTTAACTGAAAGATTATCTTATATCAAGTATTATCTTTTTTTAGTATGAGTGGGAAACACAAAATTTTACAGATATCTCAGAATGTGAGTCATGTGAGGCAACAAAATTAATACCACTCACAACTTTTGATTTAGAGGATTCTTCGGACTGTCAGGAAATAAGAATTCAAGTATAATATTAATTTAATTTGACAATTAACATATAATTTGATACCCTCTTTTTATCATTCAAATACGTTTAATCAGGAAAAGGGCAGAATCGATACTAATAGAAATTTTGCAGAGGAAATGCAGATTATCTTGTTGGATGATTTAGTTGATAAATGTAGACCAGGAGATAATATTGAAATCAGGTACAGTTATTGAAAGAAAAGAAATCTTATTTAACTGTTTATTGCTCCTAAAATCGATTTTCTAATTTAGTAATAAAAATAAAATTTCTTAATCAACGCGTGTACATTTGTAGTGGTGTAGTTGTACGGGTATGGGGACAGTTAGAAGTAGGAGAGCGTTTGGAGGCAACGACAATAATGATTGCAAACAGCGTGTCGGTACGACGTAAGATATCTGAAACAGCTTCCACTCAAGAGATGAGAGATGTATTCAAACATTATTGGGAAAAATATATCGACAATCCTCTGCTTGGTAGAGATAACATTCTAGCATCAATTTGCCCCCAGGTAGCACTTTACAATACAATTCTTAATAGAGGGAACATAAGTGTGAAAATACGTAATTTCAACTACACTATTTACAGCTTTACGGGATGTATACTGCAAAATTAGCATTAGCCGTCGTTCTAGCTGGTGGTGTACCTAAGTGTAATGAAAGTGGTAATTATCTGTTATAAGTTTCGATTATATTCATAATGCGATACAAAATATACTCAATGTCAGAAAACAAAATAAAGGAACACGTGTACGAGGTGAGCCCCATCTTCTGTTAATCGGCGATCCCGGAACTGGCAAATCGCAATTGCTTCGTGCAGCGTCCCGTCTGGCTAACAGATCGGTTTTTACGACCGGCATCGGATCAACAGCAGCTGGACTTACAGCGACTGCTGTTAGAGTTAGTTAGCGTTATATACTATCTTTCCTCTGTAATAATTAATATTTAAATCATTCTTATTACATGTACATGTATATAGGACTCTGACGGTTGGCATTTAGAAGCTGGAGCCTTGGTGTTAGCTGACGGCGGAGTCTGTTGCGTAGATGAATTTACGACAATGAGTTCACACGACAGAACTTCCGTGCACGAGGCAATGGAACAGCAAACTATATCAATTGCGAAAGCTGGGTTAGTAAGTACGCTAAATTCTAGATGCTCGGTCATTGCAGCCATCAATCCAAGCGGCGGCCAATTCGACGACGACGAAGAATGGGAAACGAATTTAGGGGATCCCCTTTTGTCGCGGTTCGATTTAATACTCCTTTTAAAGGACAATAGAAACCCAAAATGGGACAGACTGACGTCAGATCACATTTTGAGAGCCGCTTACGAGACCAGAGAAAACATGGCGCCAATGTAATTAATATTTTCCACGCAGTTTGTTTATTAACTTGTTAATAAAATATATTCTAAGAATTCTAGAATAAATATATTCTATAAAATATAGAAGTAAAAGTATCAGTTTCAGCCAATCTTTATTTTAACAGTGGTTCGAAGAATCACATAGAGCTCTTAAAATCGGAGGGTTTGTGGAAGGAAGATAGTTTGCGAGAGTATTTAGCTTATATACATTCTTTGCAACCAGTATTGACGAAAGAAGCGGAAGCAGTTCTTAGAGCGACTTATCTTTACCACAGATCTCATCCAGATAGAAGGGAAGAAAGAACAACAGTACGGCTTTTAGATAGTCTTATTAGGTACTAAAAAGAAACACGCTTAAAGAAATGTTATGATTACTTCGATAACATTTAAAAATCATGTTCTTTAGGTTAGCTGAAGGTCACGCTAAACTGATGTATAAATCAAAAATTGAACTCATGGATGCCATATACGTAGTTAAATTAATCGGAACAGGAAAGACTTTCGAGATCGATCTCGGCTCTTCGTTTCCAACAGATCCTATGGCAACATACAGATCTGAAGGTACTTGTTGTTTCGTGTTATTGTCATATTTATTATCACGATTAAAAATAATTTTATCGTGGTCAGAAATTAATTAATGTTATTTCCTTAATTCCAGGTAAAAAGTTACTGGAGATTATTGGCCTACAGCATCTAGAACATTTGTTGTAAATATTTCGATAAATGGAAAATTTGTAATTGGTTATTCTGATGAAATATATTTTTCTTATGAGTAAACTAAATATTTTATTTGTCACTTGTTTTGTTACTGCTTACATAAGTACAAATATACCAGCGTATTTATAAAATGTAAACAACTTTCTGTTTATACAAAACGAATTACTCTATTCTTCACTGTTATATAATAAAGGTGTTTGATAATCATTGGAATCAAGTTGAACATTATCTTGTATGTAAAAATATATTTAGAGGACATAATATGTTTGATTTAAGTCTCAACAAATAACAAGGTCTTCGATCTTTTTTTTTTTCATATCCCGAACATTTACTTGACATAAATTTTCCAGTTCATCGAGACGATTAGAATAAAGTAACAGCAACGATATAAGCCAATTTTTCGTAGTCTACAAATAATTTATCAATAATTAATAAATAATTAAACACGGGTAAAAGTTATACTTTAAAATATCCTTTACATGTATATGTATATACCTTAAACTTTACAAAGTGATACAATACTTTAAGGATCTAAATAACAAGTACTTAATAAAGAAAGGCCATATATTACACAATGCAAGGAATGTATAGGACGTTTGAGTAGATAATGGACATTCATAATATCTGTCTAATCCATAATTAAATTAACGCTTATCGATCAACAGTTGAAATTAACTCTATACTCATGGACATAACCATTCAAGTTATTTTGATTTTCAGCAAACCGACTTGCTTTTCATTGATGAACCGCATTATGCCGACATCATAAAATAGTGCCACTAAAATATAAAAGCTAGCAAATATATTTATGTATTTATATAGAAGCAATAATACAAGAATTAGTGATATGATTATTAATAGCTCACTCTTCCTAGATGATAAATCATTTCATGACATTCGTTAGTTAATGCAAACGAAAGACGACATAAAAATTCATATATTAGGTGACACACATCGTGTGATAACATACAAAATTATTATTGCAACAGGAAAAATACGTGTTAATTTTGTTAAGCCATCATTCAAAGTATCTGTTCATATTCACAAAACTATCAACAAATTACACGATTTTTTTCAAGAAAACATGCACATACAATATTTAATAAATAAAAAAAGACTGTAAATAGATAAATAGCCTTTCAATGTAAGAATAGATTTTCCGTGGAACATATAGTTTCATGTAACGCACTATAGCTTCCTTTTATACATCAGAACTTGGATCTATCGGTTTACTGAGTGTTAAAAGGTCAGGATACCTGAAGAATAAATCCTGTAGTGTGGCGTAAACGCTTAATAACGTGGTTGATTAGCAGCGTTAGCCATCTGGGAGCGGACAGCATTAGCAGCAACGTTACTTGCAGCAGTCTGCACGTGTTCATTGCGTAAGAAAGTTGTAGCGAATTCTTGTTGTGCTTTCGATATACTCGCATCGGACGAACGATAAATACGATGAATCTACGGGAAATATACTCTATTCTTTATAAGAGTTCAACGTTGTACAGTAAAAACATTAGAGTCAATAGTACCTTAGTCAACAGTAGGAGATCAGCGCTGGCGGCAAGAACGAAACATAAGGATATGAAGAGTAGTATAAGGCCAACAAAGGTTCCTTTAGTTGTTCCGTTGAACGACGAGATAGCCGTTATTATACCACTACAAATATCAAAAGTTCAAAGTCAGCATACAAGTTGAAAATACGAGCTCGTTTCTAAGGATAAAAATATTACCAAGTTCCAGAACCGGGAATGCCAATGGCTTGAATTGTTGTTACAATTAATTGAAAGAAAAAGACAAAAAAGAACACCATAAAATTGAACGAGCTGTCGTTTCTGAAAGATAAAAATAGTTTTAATTAAATTATAAACGCCAGGATATTAGTATATTGTCAAATACATACTTGAACGCCCTGTAAGCGGGTCTAAACCAGCACAAGAAAGAGAATGGTGTAAACAGTATGAGGAATAATATTCCAAGACCGAATGTTGAAAATTGTCCATAACATAAAACTAGTATAAATCCACCAAGAACATTCAAGACCAAAACACAGCCATGGACTGCAATTTAAAAGTAAAATAAATTTTACTCTATATCAAGGAATAATTATTGAATTAACGTTAATATTAATATTGTAGACTTACACATCCACAAACGATATAGTTGTCTGACTACCTTTTGAAAGTCCGAATGTACCTCAACATCTATATCTTGATAAAAGCAAGGCTGGAAGCAGCATTTATCAGGCAAAGGTGGCCAGTTGTTCCGCTTTGCTTTAATATCAAAACCTGATTAATACATGCTAGCGCAAAAGTGTAAAAGTTCTTACTGAATCTTGCTGAAATTAAATATTTAATTTCTGCTAACTGACTTACGATAATAAGGAGTATTTCTCATATCTTCTTCTGTTCTTGCTTTCCATTCTGGCTCTGACCTTTGCTAAAATATGACAATTTTTTAAAAAGGCATAGATATTTTCTGTAAAACACCTTTGAGTACAAAACTTTGCGTGTATTTACGTCTGATGTAGGGGACATTGTGCTTCCAAGTGATGCATTTACAGTTTGTTGAGGAGTACGTGCATACGTAGGTGGTGGAGCTTCCTGATTTGAAGGTTGAAGCATCGCTGGGTTCTGTGTGGCTCCAATTCCTCCATAAATTGGAGGATTTGCTGCACCTCTAACTTGTGCAGTTCCCTGTGTAAATTGCTCTGCAAAAGGATTATAATCTTCCAAACTTCTGTCAACTGGTGGGGAAGCTAGAGCTCTCCTAATCGCAGGATCCTAATTGAATGAAAATATTAATCAATAAATACTTTGTTTACAATTCATTAACTAAGTGAATAATGAACTGTTACTTTTTGGAAGTAAATAAAAATTAAAGGAAAAGTTGCTATAGGACCATTTCATGTTTAAGACAGATCCCTAAGAGTTTGAAGACTCAATTGTGTATCCAATATAGAATTATTACTGCTACCTTTAAAAATATTAATTGCTAAAGGTTCCTCTTACACAACAATTAATGGCTAAAAACAAATTTGGGTATGCTTAGATTGAATCTATATATTAGGAAGTGCTATATATAGAATCAATAAGTCATTCAATGCATTTCCTTATTAGTTACACGTTTCTGTCATTAGGGATTAATGTTAAATCAAGAGTCTCAAATTCACACGATGCAAGACGAAATAGAAAATACATTCGATTTCAATGGTTTCTGCAATATTTTCTCTGGCACATACGAAGATACGTATACGAGTGAACAAAAATATAATGTACAAATAATATTTATTGATACGTTCTGAGATAGAACGTCGTTCGACTTCAAAATAGTAAAATCCAATTACGTATTTAATTTTCATTTGACAGTTCTGCACGCAATATTGAACAAGGCAGTGTGTGCCTCGTTATAGCCTTCGTTAAATTACTCACCGAAAACGCATCGTCGATAGTTGGCTCCCCGAAGGGATTCTCGTCGAAGCCAGACGAGACAGACATCTTAATCGCCGTTCACCGAACCACTTTCCAACGGGCTGTTGCAAATTAATAAGACTCTAATACACTCAAAATAATCTTATCTAAGCCTGTCTATGCTTGATGATCCATTGCGCTGCGGTTACATACGGTATTACCGGCGCAGTAGTCGAACAGATCATTAGACGTACAGGAACTGACAGGAACTACAGCCACGTCCATCATCGACAGTATTAGGTTCGTTTCATAGAGTGCAATTTGATATTAAACGACGTTCCCAATCATTGGGTGCACCTAGGAACGCTAACCGCTCAAGGAGCGGCTTAGTGAGCGGATTTTGGGATTAGTGGCGCCATCGGTGGGAAAAGGGCCAAGTTTGTAGAGAAAATAGTTCGTATGGTATGTAGAAGATGGCGCTATTAAGCGAAAGGTCGATATTGATGGCAGCATTGAATAATTATTTATAAAAATGATACATTTGACATGTTAGCTAATATATTAGAGTGATATAAAGCAAAGAATCACGTTATTTGTGCATTTGAGAGAAATAATGAATAATTGATTAAAAGAT